TTTCAGAGTATCAAAATCAAAGATTCTCTGACGCTTTGCTGATCATAAATAACTCTATCCCTTGCTTAAAGGTATTTGAGTTGCGTGTCATTAAATCACATTTATTTATCAGCCAAATCCGTTGCTCCCTTGTCCTGATATCTACTCCAATAAGGTGCCGTCGGAGGAATAGATATGATTAGGTAATTAGTATGTTAGATTTCTAATAATGAAGATTTAGCACTTTGAAAGTCCTGTGATGGAGAAAAGGCCTTCTTGCCCACCTAGTTCCCCATTTTCTGAAATTCGAAACAATTAAAATTAATTTGAAATAGAAATAGCGAAGTGCCTGTAGAGCCGATGTATCCGATTTTAATCTTACGAAACGTTGTTTAAAGTCTCGATTTTTCAGGTTTTAAAGTTTAAAAAATCCCTACGAGTTTACTTGACAACCCCAGCTAGCTCTACTCAACCACGATATTATGACAATTACGGCAAAGTTCAAGTTAGATAAATAACCTCGAATTTTGTAATTTTGCTTTTGATTTCTATTGACATGAAGTTGTTGAATGAATTGTCCAACTTAGCATTTGACCGAGTCATTGAGATATCACAAACAAAATAAGTAATTATTCAAGTTTTGATCAAATTATTTGTAAACATCTGTGGCTCTTTTTTCTGAAAGTTGTATTCTTCCACAAGCAAAACTGAATTGTTAAAAAAACTTCTCTATTTTCTAGCATATCAAGCGAAAACAACTTTTTAAATTAAATCGTCAGCACATCAACCTCTTCAAAGGCGGCGCTGCCCAATGTTTTATCACTACGACGTAAAAAACATTGAACAATGAGACAAATTTTGCCAAAGTCTTAGGGTAAGAAATCGAGAACAAAGTATCTTCCACAATATCAACATATTTGTCCTACAATTCTCTCCATAAAATTTCCACTCTTAAGAGAAATTAGCTGCATGCCTAGTAAATGGGGACATCACGTGTAAGAGATAAACTCAACTATGTTGATCCATAAAACTCTAAATC